AACTTCCACCGGAATGATTGCCGGTACTCCCCCTGATAACGAGCGTCCCGTTCCTTCTCTCTTTCTCTCTCCCTCTTTTTCTTTCTTTCTTTCTTTCTTCGCTTCTTCCTTCCTCTCAAGACGTCGCGGAATCGATGAAATTGCTTTTCTCTGTCGTTTGTTTACGCAGCTGGAGGTAACTACAAGGCAGCTCCGACGACGCGTTCGTTTATGATAAGAAACACGAAATTTCCCGGCGCGATGGGCGTGCATATTTTACGTATCTGATTCGATTGGCAGTTAGATAGGGGCGCGCGTATCAACCAAGTGTCCCTCCGCGTCGCGATAAGGAGCATGAAATATTTACACGCGAGAGCGCGCGTGTTTTAATTATTGGCCGATGGACGTGGGTGGGTGGTCGGAGGTGTTCGCCGGAGCGATCGTGCACTGAGCGAGAGAAATTATAATTATTTCCGGCCTCAGCTATACCCTTGTTTTGATTTTTACCGCAAAAGTAGCACGTAGCAGTAAGAAGCGTGCACGGGTTATTACAACTGACACTATAGTAACACTTGCTAGGAAAATGGCTTTCTTGAGTATAATTTTTTTATCATGGATATACAGTTGTGGTGTTACAGTTATAAATGCCAAACATATTTTTATCTCGGTGTACTTTCGCGGCAAGAATTCAGAAAATGAAATCAGACACACTGACGGAAAATTATAGTTATCTCCGAAGCCAAACATATTTTATAGTGTAGTAGCCTCTTACACAAATATTTCATCGTTTTTATTCCTCATATAGCCCGTTTTTAGATCGTTCTATTATTTTTATCCCTATTTCTTACATTCTCAGGCATCCGAAGTCTATTAAACGAAGAAATATTATAAGTACTTCGAGTACTTATGATACTTATGATAATACATTCGAGTACTTATGAGTACTTTTGAGGAGATCGCTTTTAACTCTTGTTTTTCAGCTGACGAGTGAGAGCACGTTAATATGTTACTCTTTAGTTAGTTAGTTGATTAGTATCAATATAGAAAGAAGCGCATTAAAGAGTCATGTATTTACTGTACAATGTGAGTGCTCGTAAGTGATAAACGAATACACCTACACTGTACACCTCGTACACCTACACTGAGAGAAAAATATAGATATTTTCAGGATCAATAATATCTTTCTTTCATTTTAACCACAAAATAGTCAAGCTAATTATTTTTTTAGTAAGTGTTGCTATAGTGTCGGTAATAATTACGTGCATATTACTATTACCATTTTTGCGATTAAAATAAAAAAAGAATTAATTAAGAAATTATTATCTCCGAAAATAACTATATTTTTCTCCCAATGTGAATGTATATATGCGTTTACACAACCCAAATTTATACAGCATTGTACGTCTTTATTATTCAAAAATAATAGTACGTTTATATATTCGTATATATTCTCGCGTATATTCGTATGCAATTCGCTAAAACTATTTATTTTTGCAGAAAATGATCCTTTTCCGATTAAAAACGGGGTCATTCAGCTGGATGCAAACGCTTTCGCAATTCAAACTGTTTTCGCGGGCTAAAACCGATGAGATACTTTTGTAAGGGAATAACAGATAAGGTTATTGTCGCTGACACTATAATAAGATTCTCAAGAAAAGTGATTCTTCTATTTTTGTAGTTAAAACCAAAAGAAAGAGTATTCTCTTAAATTGAATCAGTTAATATGTCATTAATTGTACCATTAAAACAATATTCTACCGATATTCAGTGAGTATTCATTAATTTTTTAATAGGAATTCTTCCACTTCATTTTTTCGTCTAATATTTCATTGATTTTGGCCAGTGGAAAATTCGCTGTTACGCGTCCCGTAGCAGAAATATATGCATATATCGTATACGCGTTCAACCATGTCATGTTTGGCGTAGTTGATATGGCAGGAAACTCAAGAACTAAAAGTTTCGAGTTTTAAGTCCCATCAGGACGAACGTGCATTTTCAAGTACGATATAAATTAAATCAATTAAACACCACAATAAAAACCACTGACGATCCCTTAAAAGTGAGATTAAGATAATAAAAAGGAAGTAATGAATAATCTTTCTCCTGTTCCTGCAATTAGATTTTTCTGATGTCAACAGTTGCTGCTATTAACGGACTTTTGCTACGAAACTTTACCGATTTGTAGTTGCTTACAAGGATCACTAGTGACTATCAACTCAGTTCTCAGTGACAATACACTGATTGTATTCTAGCGAATACGTTCGGTGCCGGAAATAGCTGCAATTTCTTCATCGGTGCATTTTCGCGCGAGTGAAATTTGTACGAGCGCGCGTGCACAAGAGGAAAAGATTCTCGAGAATTTAACGGCTGCTTCATCGAGCGATGTACGCACGTACAAGCAAAGCATACGCGCGCGAGAACACCGAAGGCTTCCATTTTAAATATGTATGCATAACGTCTGCACGGTTAAATATAAAGTTGAAGCTTAATAATTGCACACCGGCGCGCTGAAACCTCGGATCTGTTTGCGCAACAGCAAGCGGCGGTTATATTATAACGATGAAACGACGTTATCGATACCGATATAGGCATATCGCTATAAATATCGATATTTCGATTTTGCTCTCCGTGGCGATTCCCTGAATATGGAAGCCTCTTAAACGGCGTACAAATAGTCGACGCGCCCGCTCGTTCCCTTCGCGTGACATGAGCACGCTAATATTTCACCGACTTTCCAAGCAACGACCCGCTCCCGTCGTCTTTTTCTCTCTCTCTCTCTCTTTCTCTCTCTCTTCTGCGCTCGGCTCTATGTTGCAATCGTAACCCTTTTCCTCCGTGCGTGCGACACGGAAGAAGATCCGCGCCGATAAAAAGCGCCGTTGCGCCGCGGCCGCTGCAACGAATGTATCCACCGGTCGATCCGGGTCGTTCGCGAATTTTCCGGCGAGCATTCGCAACGTAACGACGACGACGTTACGTCAGGCGTCAACGAGTCCACCGGTGATGAATCGAGAGAAAGAGAGGGAGGGAAAGAGAGGAGCCTGTCACTCAAGGATAAGTTTTATTTCGGGCGAGCTCGCGCCCACGGAAAACCGGCAGGAAACGCGACGCGGATCGACACACGATGACGATTACTCGATTGATCCGACCTTTCCCGCGCAAATTTGTAACGCGCGAGCTGAAATCCGCGGTTAACGTCCCCTCGCGCAAATAGTTCCGTCGCGCAGATTGCGGATTAAAATAACCGGCCGGCCCGGAAATTTGTCATAAATTCCGTTGCGAGCTGCCGTAAAAAAACAAAAAGCGGAAAAAGGGGGAGAGAGAGAAAGAACGAAAAAGAGTAACCAAAGAAACAACGGGAACGCAGAAAGTCTCGCGTTCTCGCGCGTGGGACCCGAGAGCTGCGCGAATTGCGCGAGCGACAAGCGAGCGCAGGACAGCGCCGGCGAAAAAAAAAGAAACAGAGGAAGAGAGAGAGGGAGAGAAAACGCGGTCATCGTACACGCGCCGGGAATATTTCGTCGACATGCAAGCCGCAATCTAGATTACCGGGCGTGCGTGAGATGCGCCTGGGAAAATGTTGGACGTCGAAATAGGCAATTTTTCTCTTCCATCACGGCGTCGCGGCTACGCGTCGAACATTTGCAAACACGTCGATTCGCCGTGCCAGCGTGTAGCCCTCCCGCCCTCTCGCCCTCTAATAGCTCCTCTCTCTCTCTCTCTCTCTCTTTCCCCCTCTCTCTTTCTCTCTTCCTCTCTCTCTCTCTCTTTCTTTCTCTATCTCCATCTCTCTATCTCTATCTGTCTCTCCATCCCTTTTCGACGTGACGATATGAATTTTCGCATGCGTCGAATCGAAAATTGTTTCTGCCTCCAGCATCTCCTACGCGAACCGGGAAATGTTTTTTACTCGCCGACAAAAACGACCGTTTTCTCTGATCCATATACATGCGCGCACGCATATATCTTCGTGCTTGAGTATCCGTCCTCTCTCTCTCTCTCTCTCTCTCTCTATCTATCTATCTGTCTCCCTTCTTCCCTCTCTCTCTCTCTCTTTCTCTTTGCTGATTTTTTTATTTTCACTCTCCATCGTCGTAAATCCGAAGAGTACATTTTATATCTCGCGGCGCGTCTACTGCAAGCGGATTTTTTCGGGCAAATAGATGCGTTGAAAAGAGAAAGGGAGAAAAAAGCGCTCTCGTTCGCGCGCGAGGATGTGTGTACGCGGTGAGTCTATACGCGATTCTCGGGCTTATTGCAAAATTTCGCGTTTGGTTCGACGCTCGCGGCCTCGTATGCACCGCGTGCGTGCACGCGAACGAAGCTGCGCGCGCGCGCGCGCGCGCGGAAGATAACGGGAAGCGAGTCGTCCTGATCCTGGCGGAATCACGGTTGCCTTATGTCGCTTTCCTGTTTTCCCTCGGAAACAACTTTTTCCGCTCTTACGGGCAGCGCCGTCGAGCGGAAAGCCCCGCTCTTGTCTTTGGAGTTAACCAACGGAGAGCGGTTGGCCGCGACGGAGCGAGATTCGCGCTCGCTGATTTGACTCGCGACTCGCAAAACGACGACTCAACGAACATCGGCGATTAGTTGAATTTCCCCATCGCGCCTAGGACCGCCAATTGACGAGACTCTTCTGCAAGGTTTTGGTGAAATCCTACGCGCAAATATCAAATCCTACGAAATTTCTTTTTATATGAAAAAACTGTTGAAAAGGGGAGGAATAATGTGAATTGGTATTATTGAATCATATGCAAATGTATTTTTCATTAGTACGACAATTTTTTTTACCTCAAACGTAATATTTTTATCTTGCATATTTATATTTTATCGTATGCATATCAGTGACATTCCAACAATTATTGTGTACCGATTAGCAGTACTAACATGGCGTAATACATAATATATATATGAAGTACGTAATTATGTGTTTAGAAAATTAAATCATTTCAATTCAAAAGAAACCAAGATTTATTTGATTAAATAGCAAGTAATGTAATCTAAGGAGCATCGGGTTTTAGGTGCTGTTTGTACACAGCAAGGACTTTTCATCTGACGCCTGTTGACTCGCAGTTTAAGGAGGTTAGTGAATTCTGATAAAATTTATTATTATATTTTATATTATTTATTTTTCGTTAAATGAAAAATCGGGACAAATGGCTCTGTTTCTTGGATTTCTGTCGGGACGTCTCCGATGAGAGCCGGAAATCGAGATGTCGCGCGAAAATCGAGACGGTTGATCGCCTTACTCGCGCCGTAATTACGAATCGCAAAGAGCGAGCGATCTCTTCGACGGTGTAACGTGACGCCCGTGAACTATTTTCAAATTCTCTTACATTNGGGGGGGGGGGGGGAATTAGTTGGCGCGGTAAAATACGAACGAGACAGAAGGGCTGGGCGGGACATAAATTTTCATCGATGTAAATTTTATTTCCCGAGGGCCCCGCAAGAGCCGCGAGACACTCGCTGTCTCCTTTTATTCGCGGCAGGTACAATTGGTCTTTCCACCGTCCATTCTCCAGGTTTTCTAATTTTAGCATAACAACAGACGGATGTCACCATTGAGAATTTCCACGGCTTCTTAACGGTGTGCTCGCGCCGTTCGCTTTGGCGAGGACGATTGCACCCTCGACGCGAGACACCAATTTTTCCGAGAAAACCGACGTTTCACCCCGATAGACCTTTTTCCTTCTCACGGTTATTCCGCGATGCATGAATGTAAATGGCATATTTCACTGGGAAGTTTATAAATATAGCCCACCTTGCGCGAGATAAAAACGCGTTGCAAAAAAAAAATGCTTTTCAGAGATATCGTGCGGATCGTTTCCGTTTCGCATTTTTCCCCATAAATCGCCATTTACGCGCAACGAATAACGTGTCAAACATTCCTACGATGCAATTTACCTCTAATGAATTCTCGCGATTCAGCTAAATTCGTGCGAAGTAAAGAAGAAAAAAAGAGAAATCGATGCTTTTTCTTCTTCAAATTCCAGCATTTTTATTGCCATTAGAATAATTAGCCTCGCAACACTTTCCGGAAATGTCTCGTGCAGCAGACTTCAAGACGTGGCGTTGAATGCGCGTCGCATTCTCGCGTCAACGGCTACATTAAAATTTACTAATTACCGCGTCTCTCAAACGAGGTCATTAGGGAAATCTTATCACAATTTATTGTCCACGATTTCTCGGATTTTTGCTGGATTCCTCCTCCAGGGATATCCTGTCCCCGTATATAACGTCATGTTTCTCTCCGCTCCGAAGAGCATTTTCCGCGCTGCGCGCGCCTTATCTTATATTCCGGCTCAGTTGTTTTGAATCCTCGCCGAGCGTCTTTTCTTCCTCCCACCGAGAAGACCTCTTCCGCTACTTGGAGCGGTAACAAAGTGCGATGCGGTTAGCGAAATTATTATCATCAGGGTATCAAGTGAACATAACAGTAATTTACGTAGCGCGGATACCTGCCTTTCGCGTTCCTCAAATCGCGCGATGTTAAAGCCAGCCGTCGCGGCTTGAATGAAACCGCCGCGAGCTGGAGAGACAAAGAGAAGGACAGACAAATAGATGAATTTATTAAGAGACAAAGAAGGAGAGGTAGATAGATAGAAGTAGAGCAGCCGTACGAACAGTTATCGCGTTTACACATCGAGAAAGAAAATCGCCGATTCACGAAATGAATTCGCACGTCTACACTCAGAGAAATAAATTAGCACTACCAACTCATTAGCAAGTTCGAACTTTGCCGTCATTGCTAAAAGTTGACTGTTAGAGGTAAAATACGTTTACTGCGAAGTGCAATTTTATTAGTTCAAATTGTTAGCTAAATGAGTAACTAAAGTTGCCTGTGCTCTCTCTCTCTCTTTCTCTCTCTCTCTCTCTCTCTCTCTCTCTTTGGTTATAAATAGGCAATACGAAATACATTTATATCAACTGACAAATTGATATTACATCAAAATGTTTATAAAATCCACATAAAATCAATGTTTTAAAAGATTGATTTAATCCTAAATAGAAATTAAACCAGTTTCTAGCCAGTACAACTGGTCAGTAATTCTTTAACTGGTTAGTTTCTAATCAGTTTTGCTGGTCAAAAACTTACAAGTTTGGGAGACTTTTGCTTCGACAATAACTGGATAGCAAAACTAGCCAGTTTCTGACCAGTTCCTAAGAAGATTTGAAGCATTTAATTTGTTTGCCATTTCATTTATTTATTATTCTGTCTAGTTCCAGGAAATGGCCAAAAGACACTAGCCAGAATTTTAAGCTTTCGCTGGATAGAAACTGTCCAGTATCAACTTGCTATTTTTGTTTTTGTAATAATTTATGGCAAGTAACTGGCCAAGAAATAATATTTAATATTCTTCGGACAGTTTCTGCGCAATTACTGTCTAATTAATTCAAGCCGGTAAAAACTAGCCTTTTTCCCTAACATTTTTCCACTGGGGATATTTTTCTTGCTTACCGGCTAATTCTTTCTCCGAGCGCAAGAAGCCGTCCTTCAATCGATCGTGCGGGGCAGTCCCGAGTGATCAGGAATCGCCGTATCAGCGGCGGGCACGTCGATGTCGTGATCCGGAGGATACGCGGGGGCAATCGTCTCGGGACAATGCGGGGACGCGCGATGTAATGGGGCCGATGTTGCGCCAGGCATGCGCTTACCTCGGGAACAATGAAGTTTATGCGATGCCGAGTGCCGTTATCTTATGACGACGACGCGGTGGATTAAGTTTCAAACACCGGCGGAGCTTGCGCCCGTAGCGGCGCCGGGTTATGGCGCTCCTCCGGAGCGTATCCGTGCTCTGCGGAACGTTTCACAGCAGCGCATCCGAGCTCCCCGCCGCGCAAATTCCCATCCGCGCCCGGCCGTTTCCGGCGCGACACTCGCGATAACAATATGTGGCGCGCGCGCCCGAACGAATGCGCGTACGAATACGTGAACGACGTCTCGTGTCAATTTCTTTGCTCGATATCGTCGTGGCGGCGCGACTCGACTTCCGTCAGCGATTGCGGCTCGCGTACGAAACTCGCGAAACTTCGCGCTTCAACGTTCGCCGTTGACAACCGGAGGGATCGCGGCCGAGAAAGAGGCGCGAACGAACGAAGGGGCGAGCGTGCCTCTGGGATTTTCTGCACTTCGAGCGTTCCCCAAACTGAGGGAGTGAGATGACGATTTTTTGTTTGATGCTTTCCCATCGGTCTTCCACAGAAAGCAGTACGGAATTTAATTCCTATCGACGACGACGAGTCGAGATATAGAAGTGACCGGCGTTATCCACTGACTGTTATTATTCCGCTTTCCCTTGATTGTTTTTATTTTTGTTCTTACCTAGATCTGACTTCCTTTAAGCTACATCGTCGCAAATGACGTTTTTCGTTCATACGTAATATTTTCATTTGTATTTTATCGCGTTGTACATACATTATTATAATAACAAGATGGTATAGAAAGATCGTGAAAATTACTTTTTGTACGCATAAAAAATGTATCTCGAACTTCCGTCATCTTATTTACATACGGAGGCAAGATGACGGTATCGACGCATTTCCCAAATAATTTGAATCAATCGAAATTTTAGCTCATTCGTAAAGTTTTCAGTTTATGCGGATGATAGGTAAAACTTCAGCTACCCGGAAGAAAGGATCGGTCATTATTTTTACGTTATTACGAAAATGAGGAAAAATCGACGGATCTTAAGACTCATCATCTTACCCGGCTTTCCCTCATTCCTTCCGGGTCTCGCGTTTTCTCGGGCTGGATGACGACACACCGCACGCACACTCCGCGTAAGGAGAAGCGGGATCCGTTCCGCGTCGGATCGGCGTCGCCGTCTTTCTAATACTGGAAATCTCATCGCGATTATTAAATAAGACGTGGCGAAGGTAACACCGCGGAGACGCGAATGGTTAGCGGCTACGGTGAACGACGGGCGGACGGCCGAGAGTGCGGGGGAGGATCATGCATAATTCAGCAGAGCGAGAAGTTCGTCTTCTACGGTGGCATGGATGCTCCGGCAGCCGGCAGCAAGTATCGCTCGCTGTTGCTGCCGTGCGGCATCTTGGCCTCGCCGAGGAGAATAACGGTACTTGCTGTTCTTCGCCTCGTCTTTCGTCTCGAGGCGGCTGGCCAGCCGGTCGGTCGGTCGCGTTGCTCTTTGCGGTTCACGTAATCGTACCCATTAACATCGGTCAACTTTTTGCGACATTTCGAGTACCTCGACTCTTCTTCGCAGCGCGGAGAGCTGTAGAGAGAGAGAGAGAGAGAGAGCATTGGACGTCGGGCTTGCTCGGAGATGTTTCAGCCGTGGAAACTCCCCGGGGAAACTTCCCCGGGCATTTTAATGGCGCAAAGACAAATTGTCGTCTATCGGACGAATGTTAATTCCGTTGACGTAATTCCACGCCGGCAAACTTTCCGGGCGAATTGCGAAGAAACATAACATCGACGTTGGAAGTTGCTTCTCGACTCGGGCAATTACGCTCTGTTAAATTGCTTAACGGTGGCGGACTACTCGATCGTGTCGCGAATTTATTCCATCGAATTGTACGCGATAATACGAAGAAATAGATAGAGGGAGGACGAGAGAGAGAGAGAGAGAGAGAGAGGAAGGAATGTAACGCAAAGTGGATGACATGAATTCCCGTCGTGAAATTTCGGCGAATTAGAAACGCAATGTTCGCAACGACGACGACGACGATGACGACGGTGCCGGTGGCGGTACAACGTCGGCGCGAGTTATCTTTGAAATCACGTAGACGGTCCTATCATCCGGGAAGCGCTCACCGAGCTGAAAAATTGGGGGAGAAAGGCATCACGAGGAAACAATAAACAGAATTGAATTCGTCCACGTTGTTTTGCCCCGCCACTCGGCGTGCGTGCGCGCATTCGCGCGTTTTCTCTCGATGCACATCGAACGTATTCATCGCGCTTCCGTTGCGCCAGCCATAAAATCGCGACGCGAATATCTTTAGTGCGATCGCACGGAAGAGATAAGAACCGACATTCTCGATATGATGTGGAAACGTCCCGGCAAATCCCAATATAGCCCGTATGATTATTAACAAATCGTCGTACCGGACGCATGGAC